GAGCCTCCATCGTCCTTGGAGCTCTTGTTTCTCCAGGTGGGTGTGTCAGTGGKCAGAGCTCTTGGCTGGTGGTGCAATCCAGAAACAGAATCACTCCATGGTTTGGGCTGAAAGGGACCTTAAAGCTCATCCCATTCCACCCCTGCCATGGGCAGGGACACCTTCCATTGTCCCAGGCTGCTCCAAATCCCATCCAACCTGGCTTTGGGCACCTTCAGGATGCCCAGACAAAGCTTCTGTGGGCACCCTGTGCCAGGGCATCACTCGTTCAATCAGTGCTGTCTACTGAAAAGTATTTTTTAATACCCATTTTCTCTAAAAGGCTCACATTTGTAGCCATATCCAAATTTTAGTCTGTTTTATTGTAAAACTGCTCCTGGAGGAGGAAGAGTGCTCGTAGCTCTTTTCTGGACTGCCAGATCTTGAATCATAAGCTCRTTTTACTGTGAATGTGGTTGTTATGCAGCAGAGAATTATGGCTTTGGATTTCATTTGCAGAGCAGCAAAGTCCCTGCTGCTGGTGCAGGATTGTATCCTACAGCAATCCCCCTTTTTCGGGGAGACCTGGGTTACCTGTGGTCAATATTTGTATTGCCATACAAATATTGAACACATTTCTCTGTCCTTTGTGCTGGCAGAGCTTCTGCCACACTGAGGGAACATTCCCCTACAAATCAGGTGCTGTTATAAACTCGCTTTGTTCTATAAGCCTGGTGGATTGGAGAGTTCAGCTTCCATATCCATAGATACATAAATATGCCCTGTGTGGTCTCCCAAGGGGAAGGCAAAATGTGTTTTTAGTTAAGTTGCATGGGAATTTAATTGAAAGATTTAGGGCAATGCCATAAAAGAGTAAATCATGGCTGCGTGACACAAAGAAGATTTATAAAGCTAAATAAAAATACTTTAGCACCTTCACTATTATAATTTGCTTGATATAAGTGGAAACCTGTATTAGTCATTTTGTCTGCTGGTAATTTAAAAAAAAAAAGAAAAAAGGCTTTTATATTTTACTGATTTCCAGTCCTTTGGGGTGAAATAATGGGGAAGACAGTAGCAAAGGGCAGAGAATTCTGTGGATGTGTCACGTCTCTGAACCTGCAAGCACCCTCAGCTTCCTTCCCAGGAATATTTATATTAGTTCAGCACATGCTCAACTAATTTCACACAAGTAGCTCCTCGGAAGGACTGTGAACTGATTCAGATGAGGCAYAAGCGTGGCTTTAGACTGCAGCCTGTGTGTGCATGGTGGCCCTGAAATTTGGCCAGTCTCCAAGGCAGCGGGGCCACTGCACGTGGGATGGTCCTGCTCWGCACAAGAAGGTCACTTGTCACACAGCAAAATGCTCGGGGATGTTTCAGRGAGGAGAGCTGGGGCAGAGCTTTAGGAATGTGACCTTCAGCRCAGGTTTAGTGAGGATTCACACACTGTGTTTATTGGAGAACACTGTATATATTAAATGCTGCAGCGTTGATAGGTCTGGATAAGGACACCATAATAGCGGTTGAATTGTAGGGGGTTTTGCGAGATGGTAAGTTAATGATGTAGCTGTTAATTTGAATTTAGCAGACGTTTTAAATATAGGTTTCTCTTACAGAGACAAAAGTTGCAATTTAAAGCTCTTTGGTGGTCTAAAAACAGCTTAATTCTCTAGTAGCATGGTAATAAGTACTAATCCAGCTTATACAGTGATTGTAGTATGTCATGTTTGTGAAAGATTGCCTAACTCTGCTTTCTCTGGGTTTTATGTTAATTTTTTTAAATTAAACATAAAACCTTATAACATCTTTATGCTGAGATAAACTGTTCAATTTAACTTGTGCTCAAGCAGCAGCTGTCAGGAATTATCATGTTTTGAGCGTTCTTGCCATCACCTTGTGTCTCTACCTCCCGGATACACTCTGTGGGATGATAAAGCTCACCTTGTTAGGATTTATTACTTAAATAATAACCCGAGGTAAAATGAAAGTTGATGTCACACGGAATGACAACTGACATATATTTATGTCGCACGTTCCATTATAATAAACTTTCCTTTCTTCCCCTTGTAATAGGTGTTAAATGGAAATACTCTCCAGCATATCCTCCAGTGCCCTGCGTGAGTCCATTAGCCACGAACGWGGCTGCTCTGTGGGCATGTTCATGGGGACTCGTGCTGTCAGGTGTTATTTAAGCTTGTAAAGCCAGGGAAATTGGTTAGTGCTGGTAGTTAGCAGCTTCTATGCCAGTCAAGAAACAGCCACGAGAGCCTCTCAGAGTCGGGATAGATTCTGGAGCTGCTGGTTTTATTTTTATTTTTTTTTTCTGTGCTGTAAGAGGCATAGGCAATGTCATTTCAGGCTTTAAATCTGAAATTGCTAGCCATCACCACAGTTTTCTCTTGACACCAAGTTCATTGTGCTGAGCTGGGCAGGGATAAGCGATCTGCTTGTTAATTGAGTCTTATCACTTTCTATTTACAGGAGAAAATTTAGGTCTACCTCTTGCAAGCTTTCCAAGTTTTCAGCCTTTGTTGCCATGYTAGAAGCCAGGCTCCAGCGTGCTCTAATGATGCTATTGAAGTGCTCCAGTTTGCCTAAGCCAATACTGCAGACACTGTTTTCTTTGCCTGTGGCTATAACCATCTTTTTTTTTTTTGTCTTCTCCTAATTATCCCATTGTTGGTCTGAGCAAGTTTAGATGCTTCAGAGTGAAATGGTTTTGTCCAAGCTTAATTCTTGGATCTCTTCTCATTGTGCTCCCTGCTGCCCTTTTCTTTCCATTCAGCATGTTAACTTTGGCACCTTCACTGTCTCCACTTCCACTCTCTCTCTGTGCTGCTTCCTGTGGTTTCAGTCCTAATGTGCTTTCTCTTTTTCCCCCTCTCTTCTTTAAACTCAGCAAGTTCATCAATACARTCCTGTATCAGTTCAGTTTTCTTCCCTAATTCAGGGCAGAAAAGAATTTCCTGAAAAATCCGTAAAGGAAAAAATAAACCGTAATGCAATCCAGAAATGGAGTTCTATAATGGTTTGAGGTGGAAGGGACCTTAAAACTCATTTTTTTCTAATCCCCTGCCATGTCAGGGACACCTTCCACTATCCCAAGTTGCTCCAAGCCCTGTCCAGCCTGGCCTTGGACACTTCCAGGGATTTTGGGGCAGCCACAGCTTCTCTGGGCACCCTGTGCCAGGGCCTCCCCACCCTCCCAGGGAAAAATGTCTTCCTTTATCTAATGTCAATGATCCTTTTTCAGTATGAAGCCATCCCCCCTGTCCTGTCAATAGCCAAATTTTTTCCAAGCAGCCGTTTAATCCCATTTTTGTCGGTTTTGGGATATGTTTTCCCCAGTTTACATTTTTCTTTGTCACTCTAGTGCTGAGCTTGCCGCCGTCCCTGAGCAGGGATTTCACATCGCCCCAGGAAGCTTTTCCTGCTCTGCTTTGAGCCTGGCACCCAGGTCATTATGAGGTCCAGAGGTCGTTACTCATGGTGACAAATAAGTAATGGCTTACCTAAAACTATTTTTTCCTCCTAGTATGGCTCRTAATAAACCTGAGCTCATACCTTAATTGGCATTCTGTGTGACAGGCCCTTTAGAACCATCAAATATTTGATGAACAAGGCAATAACAGTCATCTCTTACTTTGGTAAGCCTTTCAGATCAGCATTGACTCAGGTTGATGAAGATGGATGCAGGATCTGTGCCCTAGGAAGTGTTTGTTCTGTAGAYACAGGTTATCTGAGAAGGGTGTAAGTTAGCAGAGATATGATATATATGATCTAGATGGATGTTTGGGGAAGTTCATGAGTCTTGAGGTTGACAGCCAGAATCAGAAGTTTATCATATCAGTGATGTCAGTTTGGCAGTAATCTTGAACACAAAGTTCATGTAAAAATAGGAAGAATAGTAATAAAAATGTAAAAAAAAAAAACCAACTTTGAAAAAAATAGCTAATACTTTAAAAGAATAAAATATTGTATAAATCAGTTGTGAATCTGAACCACTAAAATGGTGGATAGCAAAAGAAAATTCAGAAACAGGCTGTGTGAAAAAGTAGTTTATTAAACTTAATGTTCTATGTGCAAGAAATACCTGATCTCAGTTTTTTTTTTTTTAATCCCTTCTGCTAAGAAATATGGAACACAAATATCTGAGGCTCTGCAGCTCTCTGCAGGTTCAGGAGATTCACAGTGCTAGCCAGGGTCCAGGAGATGCTCACAAGCTTTTGGTGAAATGCAGGCAAATCTGCCACTGGTTACAGTAGGGTCAGGATTTTATATTACAAATTTAAATACATTCATTTTCTGATAGCCTGGGAAGTTACACAAGGCTAAGATAGCAGCTTGTTAGTGTTGTTTGTGCCTACTTTATCTAATTGAGGGATGTGTGCAGTGTTGTGGACTGTGGAATAGCAGGAGTGCAGCGGCAGGACTGGGGTGCAAGGGTAGAAACAACATTTCATTACAGAGGCTACCTAATAAAAATGTGAAAATAAAACAGAAAAAGGGTGGGAAAGAAAAAAAAAAGCAGACCATACTAGATAAGTGCACTGCATAAATCAAAAGGGTTTATGTCATAACATGAACATGTGCCATTCCTGCTCATATATTGAATTTCAGTAGTCGGTTGCATAAAGAAGTAAAGTGTAATGAAACTGGCAAGCAAAGTATTCCCTAGTCAGCCTTATCTTTGTTCCATTTGTCCTTCAGATACAGCTTTTCTTGCCTTTTTCAATAAAATCCATCCAGCTTTTTTTTTTTTTTTTTTTTATTTTGCATCTCTCTGTAACTGAGCTGGGAAGACCAATGAGATTCGGTGCTTTTCTAGTTGGGTTCTTAGCAGCTGCTTTTTAAGAGATCAAAACTTTGAATGCTGCTACATGGTATTAAGGCTTAGCTATTGATGTGTCCCTATAGGGGTTATGTTTTTCTTGGGATGGGGGAGTGGGGAGCAGGGGAAGGGGTGACCCCTGCGAGCGTGCTCACCCACAGTAAACACTGCTCTCCTTGTTTTCCAGGATCCTCTTTGCAAGCTCAGTGCTTAACCTGGCTGAACTCGCTGCCCTCCGCCCTGACCTTGGCAAATTGAAAAAGGTCCTCTACTTCCATGAGAACCAATTGGCATATCCTGTCCAGAAATGCCAGGAAAGGGATTTTCARTATGGATACAACCAGGTTCTTTCATGGTAGGTGTTGCTCACACTGCTTCTCGTTGCTTAAGGTGTCCTTCTGTCTGCAGCATTATGACCCCGAGGAGTCCTTCTCCATATACTTAATATTAATTATTGAAAATTTTATTTTGTATCAATTATTTTTTGTGTTAATTATTTTGTATTAATATTTTACAAGACCACGTAGTGACAGGAAAAGGGGTGTTCACTTCAAACTGAAAGAGAGTAGGTTCAGATTGAATATAATGAAGGAATTCTTCCTTGTGAGGGTGGTGAGACCCTGACACAGGTTGTCCAGAGAAGCTGAGGCTGCTCTCATTCCTGGAAGTGTCCAAGGCCAGGYTGGACAAGGCTTGGAGCAGCTTGGGATAGTGGAAAAGGATGATCTTTAAGGCCYCTTCCAACCCGAACCATTCTGTGATTCTATAAACAATGACTCTGTAGCAAACTGAGCTACCAGCAGAGTCCTGGGGAGAGCTTGATAACATCAGTGTGGCTGAACCACTCTGCTCTAAAAAATCTCCTCCATTTATTGTATAAAATCCACCTGGGCTGCCATGCTGTACCCATTGTTGGTGGGATTTTTGACCTGTGCTTTGGCTGAAAGTGATGCTTTGTTTCATGGTTGCTTCACAAAGCTGCAGCTACTCAGCTCGTGCTTGGCCATAGCTTTTATTGCATCCAGCTGAAATTATGGAGAGGGTTTTAGGGAAATAAACAGAAATTAAAATGTACTGCAGCACTTTTCATGTGAAGAGAGGGCAGTAAACATACCAGATAAATCCTTATATTTCTTTCATCTTGTATTCAGAAATTGTGCAGTGCTAAAATACCCAGACGTTTTAAAGGCTGCGGTCCTTTATTGTTGCTAAAAACAAATGTATTTCTCGAATCTGAGTTAATGAAAGAAGTTAATAACAGCACCACTGAAAAGCTTTGTGGTTAGGCACTGTGCAGACCTAAGTGAAACAGCAAAACTCACTTGTTTTAAATGGAAATAAATTCATTTCCATGATCTTCCTCACCTCTCTCTTGCTAGAAGAATTATTAAGAATAGGGCTTGGGCATTTTAAGGTGCAACTTAAGCTTTTGCATCTTTATAATCCAAGGCAGTTGATGTTGAAATTTCTCAATTAATGATCTGTGTATGCTCTGGCCATTCTGCAGCTGCCTCTGCCACAGTGTTTGCARCATGTTTCACTTACTGAGCTGTGAAGATGGGAAAATGAAGTGAAAAGATCTTTTGAAAACAGTAGCAGCCATTTTCAGATATTCTAACAAAAAGAAGTGTTTTCTGGCACTGGGAAAGGAATGTATTTTTTGTATATATATTTTGATATATTGTGGCAGTAATTTTTCCTACATCTGTTGTAAACTGACAAGCATTTATCCTGAAAATATGCATTTTAAGTATATTCTTAGCTTAAAAAAAAAAAAAAAAAATTACAGATCAGAGAATTGTGGAATGGTTTGGGTTGGAAGGGACCTTAAAGACCATCCTATCCCACCCCTTGCCATGGGCAGGGACACCTTCCACTATCCCAGGCTGCTCCAAGCCCTGTCCAACCCAGCCTTGGACACTTCCAGGGATCCAGGGTCAATGGATGCTCCATTCTGTCCCCTTCAGTCTCCACTGTCTTCTTCATGTAGTTACATAATATTAATTTCCCATTTCTGTTCTGCTGAAACCCCAATTTAACAGAAAATAGAAGCCATCTCTGTATTATTCTTCACACTCCAGTGGTGAACTGCAAAGACGTGCCATCTTCTCATCTTCTAGATATGTTATAAATGGGGAAAATGTACCTTTCCAGTTTTACATAGAGGTTTTGGTGACAAAATTAGAGCATTTTGAACCTTCAGGTTGGTGCTTGGGATCATTAAAAATACAGAATCCTGCTTTTTGTACCTGATGTTTCTGAAGAGTTCATCTTTCRAATTTGCCCCTGGTTTGCAGAGCCTGCAGGAAAGAGGGCAGATAAGATTTCATTCACAAGAGAAGCTGGGATGGTGTTGTTGGAGCCTTTTGCRCGTGTCAGAGAGCAGCAAAGAAACGTGTCAGGATCCTGCCTCATGTCATCTGTAAATCAGTGCAGAAAAGATGACTTCTGTACAAAACTGAGGCCACCAATGGGTTAAAAACCACAGGTGGGGAAGAGGGTGGGATGCCAGAAATCATTTCAGCTCCTGCAGCCTGCTTGAAAAGGATTATTTCTCTCTAATGTTGGGTTTTTTTTTTTTGCTTTTCCTGCTGACTCCTGCTGCTTTGGTGAGCAGTGTCAGTTCTCTTTCTTGACCAGACAGCAGAAAGATGCAGAGAGGATGAATGACAGCCTCTCACCTCAAATATACTTTTTACCAGCCCTGTGACTTATGAACACATGTCCTCAATGTATCTTCTGACCTGTAGGTCTGTATTACAATATATAACATATTGAGAAAACCAACTGGCCATAAAGCATTTCTTACCTCAGCTAGTGTTGTGTGTATTGGTGTAACTCAGGTTGTGGCAGCACTGCCAGGATAAGTTTCCAAATACTTCAGGTTTTTTATCACTGCTTATTTTCTCCAGGCTGAACTCTAAGTGGAGAAATAATACCTACATTATCATTGATGCATCTTCAAATTATTGATCTGATTGATTTTAAAATACAGCTGTAGGGATAAAACAATAAATTTACATGCCATTTTGTTTTCAGACTTTTTTTGGGGAGGGCTATTTTATTTTTATATATAATGAATATACTCTTAGGATATGTCTGCCTATGTTGAAATAACATTGCATTTCTTTAGTGTCCTSCTGCCTGACACACAGTTAAAGGTGGGTTGACCAAAGGTAAGTTGTCCTTCAATAAAAAGATTTTTTTTTTTTTTTTCAGAAAGGAAAGAAAAGAAAGGAATTTTCATTTTCTTCCAGCTTTAATTCTGCCAAAGTCAGATTATAGTGGGCCTTATCTGTTTATAATGCTTCTAAGAGATGATGACAGTAATACTATACTTATCATTTTATGAATAAAACTCCACAGATAGAATAGGGTGTGCTTCTTTAGATTAACAATACTAATTTATTTTTAGTTAAAAAAGGTTAAACATCTTTTCAAAGGGTGAATTGAGAGAAATTAAGACATTTCTGATTAAGGTACATATGCTGCTCTTAATTCACGTGAAAAGGCTGATTTTAATTAGCATCCACTTGCACCTTTTGCCTGTTGATGAGAATATGTATCCTATTCCCACTGTCTGTAGAAAAATTCTGTTCCTTTTGTGGCAGCAATATGTTCATTAATCTTCACTGCTTTTTACAGTTTGGTTGCTGATGTTGTGGTGTTCAACTCTGCTTTTAATATGGAATCCTTTCTCAAATCCATTGGAAAATWTATGAAGCTGATTCCTGACCACAGACCTAAGGATTTGGAAAAAATAATCAGACCGAAGTGCCAAGTTCTTTATTTTCCAGTCAGGTTTCCTGATGTGAGCAGGTCAGTACATTTTCCACGTCATAAATTGCCTCCAGCCTGTCAAAACTCTGTATTTATGGTGACGTTCTAACTAATCAGCTAAAGCATCGTTAATGAATGAGTTTGATAATATGCAAAATCCCCTAATTGATAAATGTATTTCAATAATCAGAGGCTATYGAGGCAGCCGAGCCTGTCCTTAGTGCCTGTCGTGCAAACTCACATCGTGTTGCAGTGAGATTTTATTCCCTTTTCCCTTCCCTATGTTTTTTATGGTTTTCCAGGTAGGCAGGAGTGTTCCTGTGCAGGGAGCAGCCGTGCAGATGTTGGCATTTGCTGCAGCAGGAGTTGCTCTTCTTTCCTCCTCGGTTACTCTGAAGGACGTTTTTTATTGCCCTCGTTTCAGAGCCCGTCTTGAAATTAGCAGTGGGTTATGTGGCTCAAAGGGAACATTCACAGGATCCTTTTCACTTTTGATTAAACCTGGCACAATTGTTTTTCCTGTTATAAGGGACTCTCCTCCCACYGAACAGGAACTTTGCTTCAGTGGGACCGGCACTAAATAGAGTGTGATTCTGCAATTTGATTATACTCTTAAAACCAACACCATGCTGGGTACATTTTTTTGCTGAAATASGGATGGGAAGCACTGCAATGACTTTGCAAGAGCCAACTTTTGATCTGATAATAAGTTCTGGCCACACTTGAGATCTTTGTCCCTGACCAGCCTGTACTTAGAGTTATTTCRAAGGCTAAATATACATGTGTGGTAGTTTGAGGTAGAGAAATTTTTAGTGCAGGAGCTGAGGTCATGCACTCACTGATGTACTCAAACTGCAAGGTTTGAGTTTCAGTGTCTTGGAGCACTTCACATTCTAAAGTACTGATGCAAATCATTTAACAATCACCGCCTAAAGTTAAATCTTTCAACCTCTATTTTTGACAAGTGGGTTAGAATCCTCCAGTGTTCCTCAGGGACGTGGCTGCCTGGATGGCAGCACAGTTCAGTACCTGTGTATCTTTGAGGATCTGCTATTCCTTTTTGGAGCACAGGGAATGCTGTGGGTGCTCAGCATATTTGACATGGAGCCAATTCCAAAGGCTCTCGTGGTTTTGGCATACCTTAGGAAGTCATGTGGCCCAGGCCTRGTTTTGGAGATGAAGTTATGATAACCCTGTCTCATATGTTAAATCAGCTCTTTGGGACTTGTCAGCCCTGGCAGATGGGGTCAGACAAGATCTGACAAATTAGGCTGAAGTCATCACACACTCAGCATTCATTTGTCCAAAGCAGGAGGTGCTTAGGTGGGTAAAATCAGCATCCTGCTACTCAAACTGGTACAGCAGGAAGATCTCACATCTCACTGTGTGCTCTTTTAGAGTCCTGCTCTCATGTTTAATCCCATCTCACAAAGCAGAGCACCTTTCCCGTTTTTATTGTGGTTGCTGCACTTGAAATCATATCAAAAACCTCTTTTCAGCAGTGACGAACAAAATTAGGATGTTTATAAACAACTSTGTGACTGTAAAACTTTCACAGAGAGGAGTTAGAAACAAAGATTAATATCATCTCTGTTATATCTACTATATATTTTATTCAACAGCTAATTCTAGATGTAAGATCTGGAGTGGTTAGACAAAGTCCAATATCAAGACAGGGAAAAAAAGGAGAAAAAAGGGCTGCTTCTTCCTAGCTCTGAAGTTCTTTGGGCTTTGACCTTCAGCTGCAGCCAATATTTGCTATTTCTTTCCATGTTTTACATAAAGTTGAATGCACCTGTGGCAATTCAAAGCTGGTTTTTTAATTTAGATTGTATTAGTATAGTGACTGAATGGAGATTGAGGAGAAAAAGGTTAAGAAAAATTGTGGCCAAGCTAAAATTTATAAAGCAAGCTCTTAGCCCAGAGTGTTTTTCAAGTTATTTTCAAATGGTAATTTGCTTTATCCAAACCAAACTCATACAGTGTAAGTAAGTGATTATTTGCATGACTGACAATCATTTCAGTGCCTGCAGTCTTTTTAAAATGCATAATTTTGCTGAGATGTTGGGAAAATATTTAAAAATTCTGAAGGCAAAATAACCAGGCTGGGTTTTTCATTTTTTCATTTTGACCTCTTTTATTTTGCGTGTGAATGTCTCAGGGTGTGTTTGTGTCTGAAACATAATCTACATTTGGATTGGGGAGAGAGAGGTGATCTGAGAAATCATCCTCACGCATGTGATGGGGAGCTTTTTAAGATTATTTTAGATTAATATTGCAGTTGTAGGGCAAAATAAAATATATCTGGCGCTTGATCAAAACCAGTGTAATGAAGGATCATGTCAGCAGAGTTAATCCTGTAAAATATCTACCTTTTAATGTAATTACTGTAGGTGATGGGCACAAACARCACAAGCAGCATAGTAAATGATGACTTAAGAGGGGAGGTATAATGATGAAGGATATCCTAGGAAACACTTGTGGGTACTCTTAGAGGCACCACTGTAATGTGTAATGTGTATTTAAATGTTTCAAATGGGCCTCTAACCATGGCTATTTTACTTCTGAGAAGAAGTTATTGATGCTTTTTAATAAAGTATCTTTTTTCTAATAAATAYGTGTCATTAAGGACCCGTGTTGGTGTTCCCAGAGCAAACCCACCAGACTGTGGTCCTTATCTGACAATGAGAAGAGATGAAAGGATTTGRGGATTTGACAGAATAAGGTATTTACTGACCTAATCCTCCTGTTTTCTGTTTCTGACAATGACTGGCTTCCATATCACATCCTRTGGTGCCACGGCTACTCCGTACATACCCACCCCGTGTGATTTCTGACTTGAATTCTGCTCTTTGTACATTCTAATGAAGTGTACGATGTAGGCATAAATATCAGAGTATTTCTGAGCTTGGAGACAAAAAAACCCCTCTGAGTTAAGGCTGACCCTTCACAATTCATTGGTAATGCAAGGGATGGAGACCAATGGCTGATCTTCTGCCAGATGTGCTGTGTATCAGACTGGGCTTTTATAGCATAGTGAATTAAATACATCATAATTCACACTTATGTGGCCATTGATTTAATAATAATATATTTCCTAGTGTAATGTATATAAAATACTTTGGTTTTTCACTGTACAGTCGATAGAATATGTTTTTATATGATCTGTTTCCACTTTTGCACWGTAAATTGATGGTCTAGGAAGCCARTTCCCTTTTGACAGATGTTGTCTTTGGTGCTTACTTCTCCACATGCCAACAGAGCCCTCTGGAAAGCTTCTGCAAGGTCTTTGTTGGTATTTGGATATCCATTGGACMATTATCCTGGTCTAGTGGAAGGTATCTCTGCCTGTGGCAGAACTGGATRATCTTTGAGGTCTCTTCCAACCCAAACCATTCCATGATTYTATGATTTTATACTAATTGTCCCAGCCCATCATTGCCTGCATTGTCAGTGGCAGTTTGCAAAGCAGGGTCAGATTGGGTACTCCTTGGRATTCATTCCAATGAAAATTATAATTTAGATTTTGGTTATTATTACTATTCCTCTGATTGTAGTATATCTTTATTGTTATCACAATGTGGTAGGAAAGGAAGATGTCTTTATAAGCAAGAATGAAGTAACATTCCTAAGAGCTCAGAATTCACATTGGATTAAGGTGGAATAATATAAAAGAATCATGAGATAATGAGGATTACAGCAGAAAATAGAAACAGCTTTTTAAGGGGTGAAACTTGTTAGTGAGTGTCTTGTGCTRTCTGTATTACACATTTTGGAGTATTATTAAAGATTTTAGACTTCATCTGCTTTTATAACTTAGTACAGTTAACAGGATATTTTCAAGCATTTTTGCTTATATTTTTTTAGCTATAGTATAGAGAGAGGCAGAATTGGCCAATTTAGAGAATATTTTAGGGCTAGTCAAGGGAGTTCATGAGTAAAGCAGAAGTTTTTAAAAGATGCTGACAGTATCTCTTGTGCTTAAACGTGTGGGGGAGCCTGTATTGGAGAAATAAAAAAAAATAATTGCATCACTTGGACCAGGTTTACAGGGCTGAAATTAACTGGAAAAATGCAGATGTCAATGAGCAAGGAGGGACTTGAATTCACAGGAGCCCAAAGCTATGGATGGGCACTGGGGACATGTCKGCGTCGCAGGGAAAGATGCTCAACMRTGGTACCCACWTGAGCAGTAGTGAACTGTCTTRTATCTGGGAAGCASTAGATAACTTAGAAGARCAGTTTTTGGCTAATTAGCCTTCCAGTGAAATGGGATGTTTTATCTTAAGTGGAGTGCTAATGACAATGACTCTGGTACTGGGGACAAAGACTGCCTTTGGTGGGGGCTCGGGTATCTCTGCGGTGCCACCACCAAAGGCACTCAGTATCCCCTCTCCGGTGGCACAGGCTTGCTGCCACCACACTTTATGGGTAATTAGCATAATTAGAAAGTGCCAATAGACTGCTCCTACCTTGGGGCTTGCTGCTGAAGAGCTGGGTGATGGAAATTGCTCCCCAGAATGTCTTTCCTCCACCTGCCGCGAGCGGGGTTTAAGGATCGGTGTTGGTGTGCTGAGAGTTCTGCAACGAGCACGAGGGATGCTCTCAGGATCTGGGACACGGCCCCTATTGGGAGGAAAGTGCAGTGTGGGCTCAAAAAAACATAAAATGGAGTCTTTCCATTGTGGGGCTGTTGGTAGTGGGGTGGTTCCTCTTCCCCCTCTTGCTCTGCAGCAAGGCTTGGGTGCTTCAGTGAAGGATACCTTCATGTGCAGTGTGTTTTGTCACACAATCCTTCCTCCACACATTCATTGTRTGCTGTCGTGGGTGATGCAGGAGTTTCCATTCTCCCTCTGGATCATGGAARAGCTGTTTTCCCAGCCTTAGAACATGCCAGTTTTATCTCCAAAATATTTATCCTCAGACTACTCCAGCAGCATCAGTCCAAGAACGCCCTCCTAGAGAAGGGCCTGGCTGAAGAGYCTGCTGGGATGCATTCATTCTGCAAAACTTGCTAAAAAGTAATTTCTTTTTATCTATTCAGGGACAAAAATAGTTTTACTGACTCTCTTTTATCTGTCGTATAGGTATTCCACTAAACACTATCATAATAACCATTTAGGCTCACAATAGCTCACAAGGATACTTAAGCAGAATTCTCTGTGCAACCCACTTTTTTATTATGTTGGGTACTGCTCATGTTGCATACAACACATTCCCATAAAACTTGCTTTTTGTATTTACAGAGAAATTTCTCTGGAGAGTTAAGGTCTTGTAAAACATTCTTGTTCTACAGCGTGAACGAATTATCATACTCTGGGGAATTAAAAGTGAAGTGTACTGAAGAAAAGAATTTTTTCATTAAAATGCAGTTTATATTGATAAAACAGATTACTAGCATTTGATGAAATGTGAAACTTGGATCTACCCATATCGCTAAATCACCAGTAGGTTTATTTTGGCAAGAAGAATAGTATGTAATGTATATCAGGACCAATCGTTACACAGTACCTGTTAGTTTTGTATCAGATTAAATTGTCTTTCACTAAAGTACTTGGAAAAAACCCTACTATATCTGTATCTTGAAGTAGCAGAATGTGGTAACCAAGAATATTAGAAAATAAAAGCTGTCGTGTTATCAGTTTTGGCACAGTCATTTATCAATCAGTATTTTAAACATTGACAAGTGGTAATTTAATAGGGAATGACCCTGTTGGCAGGAAGTTCTAATGACAGATGATGCAAACTCATTTATCACTATGGGGCTGTGCTGGCTTCTTACCTTTCTCAGTATCACAGCTCATATTTTCCAAGTCTGGGATGTGAGAAGCCACAAAGGGCAAAACCTGTGGCACTGAGCCTATAACCACTCCCATCTAATCTGATTAACCCCTTAGCTGCAAATTTCTCTGCAGCAGAGCTGGTAAAAGCTGCGAGTTCTCCTWCTGATTTAAATACCGTTTGCTTTTAAGGAGGATTTTCCATAATACTTTCCCATAGGCAGCTTTTTCAGAAATATTTGAGTTGTGTCACTTTGAATACAAAGTTGAGACGTGCCGGTGCTTGGCTTTCAAAAACAAACCACATCCTAATAATTAATAGCACATTTCATTAGCAGGCATTAAAAATATTGCATGCRGTGCCCTATACAATGGGCAGCTATTATTATTATTATCATTACTACTCGAGAAGGAAATTGATGCATTCAGAGGTTTAATTGATTCGTGCATATTCATGTGGGAAGTCAGTGGTAGAGTCACGACTGGACTGGATTATTATGCACTTCCATGCATAATAATTCCTCTGCAACTTGGGAAGAGAATAGCCTACCTTGCTGTAATAAATGTGGGCATTTGGAGTTGAGGGAYGTCATGGGAGAAGGGATAAAAATGACACCTTCATCAGCAACTGGTATGGATGGTGCTCCTCAGTSTCCTGGGATTCTGTCTGGAATACAGACATTCAACTGTACTTACTCTGAATTAAAACAACAATATAGTTTTACTTCAATATTCACAGTAATAAAAGTTTTGATTGATTTAATATGATTTTGTGTTACCTTTTTAAAAGCATAATAAACAAAAGACCTTGTTGGGGGCTTTCTTCACCTTCCTACCTCAATTTGCTGTTTGTTTTTTTTTCTTTTTCTTTCCCCACAGAGTCATYCTCCTGACTGGTGGGRTTGGGTTAAATATCACCCCTATACAGGATGGTTTAGATAGGAAATRCTTTTAGAGTTTGCATCAAAYTGTTGTCATAAGAATCAGTGAATTTTAATTGGTTAAAATTGTCACAGACTTAACGCTGTGGGGTTTTATATTTTTTATTTTTTTCTTTTATTTGAAGTGGAAAAAGGCTATTGCTTAGTGGAAGGATCCTGCAAAGTACTAATGCCCTCATTTTCCCTGCAGTGAGGGGAAACTGAGGGCTTTTGGTGGGAACACAGCATTAACACGGATAGAAGGAGTTGGCACTAAACTGACTCTGGGTGTCGAGTGATGTTGCTGTGTCCAGGTCCCTTTCAATCCATAGGAAGGTACAGACTTAAATCATTTGCATGTGTGAAAGATGGTTTTTATAGACCAGGCTGTCCCTGCTGGATTTTGCATTTCAAAATACTGCCCTTCAACGTTTGAACAATTCCATATTTTTTTATTATGAAATTCATGAATATTGCATAGAAGTGAAGGTGGATTTTTTTTTTCCTTTTTTTTTTTTTTTTTTTTTTCCTTTTG